ACGGCGTTGGTTGGAGAGGAAGGGTCGGTAGTGGTATCGGTAGTCCGTCGGTAGTGGTATCGGTAGAGGAAGTAGTAGTAGTTGTTGTTGTTGCTAAGAGTCTTGCCTGACTTCAAGACAAAATAGACCGGCAAGTTGTTGTTTTAGTAGTAGTAGTTGTTGTTGTTGTTGTAGTAGTAGTACTGTTGTCATTTGTTGTTGTAGTAGTAGTCAACCCTCGAGTCGTTTGTTGTTGTTGTTGTAGTAGTAGTAGTAGTAGTGTTGTCATTTGTTGTTGTAGATCGATCGGTGTTTGTTGTTGTTGTGGATCGATCGCTCCGTGGCTTCGATCGATCGCTCCTGTTGCTGTCACTGCTTCCAGCCTATCCAAATAAGAGGAGCCTGTCATGGTAAACAAGAGGAGCCTGTCATGGTGGAGCCTTCTTCGAAAGGAGTAGCCGCTGTAAAGGAGGAGAAAACATCATCTTGCTAGAGTAACAAAGATAATAGAGAGTATCAAAATAATGAATATTGACTAGTGTTATTCGAGGAGGAGGAGTTCCTTGGTTCACCACGACCGAAGCGTTGGATCCCTCTCTACAAGTGCGACAGGCGTCGATCGATCCGTATCGATCCGTATCAAGCCTCACTCAATCCGACCGTCTCCGGTTCAGAGCAGAAAGCCATCCTCATTGAAATCATACCAGCTTGGGAAGGTTTTCTTTTCTGGGCCGCTGACAGTCAAGTTGGAGTGGGAGGGTTTGGTCCGAGCAAAGGATGGGAAAAGAGCGAGTCAGTATGGGTTACACGATTTGAATTCAAATTTCCTTGACTGAACCAACTGTGACGTACTTGATGACATATTGTTGTTCTTCAGACGTCTTACCCATGGGGGAGATGTCTGTTTATATAAGAGACGTAGAGGGTCATTGCCTTCTCCCCTCTTTACTATATGTATTTCATGTCATTTCATGTCATTCGATGACTGGATCTTTGCTCTCAAACGGGAATCAGGAATTCAAAGGTTAACCCTCTCCCTCTTCTTCTTCTTTTTCCCTCCCCCACGCTGCTGCCTAACCCCCCCATAAAGTCGATAGGGACCCAAAGCATGGTTGGCAAATGGCTCCATATGTGGTGGAGAAGAGTATCAAAGCCAAGCAAAAGGTACTGGCACCAGCTGCCGAAGCGCCTCAGCCACTTATGGGCACTGCTAGCCCAATTGCATTGGCCACTATTAATACTATTCGAGCCCATTGGAGTTTATGTTTTCTCTGGTGGGACGTCAGTTTTAGGCCCGATACGGGTCCGCTATGGCTCCGCCAAGCAGTGTTCTAGAGGGGAATAACCCAAATAGCAATTTGTTTCTTCTACATCGTACCTCGACTACCCCTGTGTACCGGTACCGTACTGTAAAGCGGTTGTCTTCGCATTCTAAAGATGGGTCCAAGGTCGATTGAATGGAATTCAATCACTCCCGCGACCAAAGAAAGGGAGTTTAGGTTTCTAAAGGTGTCCTACGTGCACCGTTGATACCAAACGGGTAGATCGGATTATGTTTGATCCCAGTGCCTACCGGTACCATATAATTGTTCAGACGCATTGGACATCAATGGCTGCTTTGCAGAAATCATGTCGCGGTGCAGAAACGTAATTTAAAACCTTTAGAAGCATAATTTTTTTAACCGAAATACTTCCGACACCAGAGAAAGTAAGAGAGAGGATCAGCAGCCTCTGCTGCTGCTCAACCATAACATTAGCTGCAGTGGCAACAAGTCTATGCCAAGAGCAACTGTGAGTGGAGTCTGCATTGCATGTAAGCTACATTTCTTTGCTTAGATCCATGGTGATATACACAGCAAACATCACAACCACGGTCGCCACAATGGCAATCAAGACCAAGGCTGTTGAAGCGATAACCCAACGACTTCTTCTTGAGACTTGGCAACTGAAACTGACATTGCTATCCTCTTGATGCTCGGTGTTGCTGTTGCTGTTGCTTACGTCGTCATCGTCAGTTTCTGTGGGCTCCAACGGTGCTTCTGTGTCCACACCACCACGTTCTAGCTTCTCCCCCCGAGGTACTGTCACGGTTACCGGTCGTTTCATACCGACATCTTCTTTATCCATGGGCCCCGATGCTTCATGATGGTCCATAGTAGTAGTAGTAGTAGGGCCTTTTGGCTCCTCGTCCTGTGGTGGTGGCATGGATACCGGTACCACGACAGAAATGGGCGCCTCGTCATCAGTATCGCAGTCATTGACTGCCTCTGTCTTGAGGTGAATCATGCTTGGAGACCACACACCGCCTGCGGGGGAGCAAGGAACTGTAATGAGAACAGACGCTGCATTGCTACTGTTGTTGCTGCTACTGACTGTGTTTGTAGCGATGGTACGAGCATCAAATGTCACCTGAGATGCCGTTTCAGTAGTAGTAGTGGTGGTGTCGACCCTGGAGTTAGTAGCTAGACTGATTCGTCCGACTCCACGCTCTGAAGGATCTGGAACCATGCGACAAGAGATGAGAGGAGTGGTACTGGTCTGATTATGATGTGCCATGATCGGACGGGCCGATACTACCGGAACGGCGGCAGGTGCGATGAACTCCTGAACTGCGGGAGGCGGATCATTCGTGGTGGTGGATGACTTCATTAAACACTTTTTGGCAAGAGCTGCAGCCTCTTCAGCGGTAAGATATCCCTTGCCGTCTGCATCCGCTTCACGTGCTGCCTTTTGGGAATCACTCAAATATCCCTTTCGGCTCTTGTCATACTTCATGGAGACTGTGGACAAGCGACCTCTCCCCCGGGCACTGTCCCTCGTTTCTGCCATTGTCAACACAAAACCCTCCTGGTTGGTACTGGAGGACCTGACGTTCATCTATCTATCTACCGGTATGGGTAGGTAGGCGTGAATGGAGGGAAGAATGGTATAAAAAGGTGCTTTTGTGAAAGGGAACGACGTAAGCGAGCAGTGAGATGTGAAACTCGTCTCCAAAAGCTTCCAACAGTTGGGTACTAGCTAGCGGTACCGGTACCACTCCTGCATGCATGTGCCGAATACTGTGATGCTTTAATTCACATTGGAGAGTTACTCTTGTACACAACCAACTCTTGCAGAGTCGAGTCGCCGTAGATCTTTTCGGCCGTGGATTTTTGAAGGTGAAAAATAATGAGACGCCTTCAAAAATAAGATGGTTCAGACCCGTACCAAAAAGCACTCGTGATTTGAACATATGACGTCAGTGGTAGATCCAAGCCACTCCAAGAATCCCTTTACCGTACCTGACGACTCTAGCGACTCGACTTTTATGAGAGGATAGAGAGCATCTGCCATGATCATTGGCCACAAACCTGAGCGAGAAGAACAAACAAAATGAGCCCTCTGCCTTGTCGCCTTTGGATCCGCTTGCTTGTCATGGTGGTGGTGGTGGTATCTGCCTTAGCGCTGGATTTGCAATCGACGGATCGCCGTTCCTTTCTCACTCAAAACGGCATTGTTTCGGCTGGAGCAATAATGCTAACATCATTACCGGCACATGCCGAGTCGTTGTCAGAGCGACTGGCGGCTCGTGATCCTTCCAAGTTGACGAATTCGCTATTTAATAAACCACCGGCTGCCATGGTCTACCCCGACTTTATGCGAAATGCCGTTTGGGATGTGCAAGCCCAATTCGGGGGATACCTGTTTCCGTCCACCAAGATTCCCAAGGACCAACTGCTGGCCAAAGCGACGACGCCGGGATTCCAAAAATGCAGTATTGCCGCCATTAGCGATATCGGAAGAGAAGGCACGGTCCAATATGCCATGCACATTCTACCCAATGGACTGGAAGATCGTGCCTTTACACTCAAGCAGCAAATTGATGCCTACCTGGGATATCCTGCCGTTTCCGAGGTCCTCTACAATGCCAAGGCCAATCCCAATCGCATTTCCATTGACTTTGTCGATTACAAGACCATCAATGCCGAACGAATTGAATTATTTTGCAATGGACGAGAATCTCAACTTCAACTACCACTGGACAACAATAGCAATGGACGAGATGTCTTTGTGCACTCGGAATATATTCGACAAGTCACTTTTGGAGGCGGCAGCGAGGTGGGGATTCCACGGCAAGTCAGTAGCAATTACGCACACTTTTGGACCTGGAGTCAACCGCACACTGGTAGTAGTGACGACAACAATAATACACCAGCTGTGCTCAAGGGAAACCTACTTACGGCAGCCTATTTGGATCCACAAGATCCAAACTTTTTTGAAGAGCCCACCAAGCCAGTTGCCGTATACAGTCATGTACTAAAAGCTACGAAACGAGGCGAGGCGAAAAATAACGCATAAAAGTAGCCAAGCAACGATCGACCAAAAACCTCATGGCATGGGCGTGACGAGGATAAATTCACACCTCTTTCTCAGATACGATCCTTTCTTTCGTACTACATACATACGTCGCCAAAGAGCAGGCTTTCTGCGGATTGGAGAGACTGCTTACTGCGGGCTCTGGAAGCGACACAGATTCGTCACACATCCCTTGCGGGGCAGCTCTTCCTGACACAGGAGTGATCCATTCGTCACACCTCCCCTTGCGGGGCAGCTCTTCCGCTCTTCATCCGTCATCAACAACTAACTCCCAACCTGTCTACTAGTTCCATACGGTACCTACCTAAATAGTAGCACAAAATAAGGGTTTCACTTCCACCATGCTTGGCTTGTTGGAGGGCTTTCATCACAAGGTGGCCCTCCAGAGCGATCACTTGCAAAACACCAAAGCTCATTGGAGGCATTTGGCATTACCAGCCACTGCTTTGCCTAGCCTCGCCCCCCTCGCTCCTTAACGTATCTATTTAGTATTTATTTATCCCACCAGTTAGTTGACGATGCCCGCCTCCACTTATTTCGAGAGACGGAGCAACCTACAGCTTCACTGACTTCCATGTCGCCACTCGCCCAATCGTTGACCTGTGTGGCCAAGTACCAAGGTTGCCAGGTAGCTTCTCCACACCTGCTTGCTGGCTCTGGAACCGTCTTCAGCCACAGAGAAGATTGTAGTGAGGTGTAGGTAGTCTTTTAATCACTGGTAGTGCTTGCTGTGTCCAGGTTCTCCAGGACCTCTGCCTGTGATTGGATTTTCATGTTCTAAAGGGCACACTCTGCAGAACCGGCAAGGACCGTTGACACACACACAATAAGAGTTTCTCATACGCACACACACAATAAGAGTTTCTCATTTGCCTTTGGATGTCATTTTGGATGCCTGCCAACAAACCAATTGATCGTACCGTAACCTGCTGTGCTGCAGGTGGTGGTGGTGGTGGTGCTGTGGTTGCTTGTGGTGGTATTAACATCGGTTTGCCTTTGCTTTGTTTGTTAAATCTAACATAAACGATGGGTTTGAGGTCTCTTGTCTTGCGACATTTACGAGGTGGTTGGCCACGGACGAGGTTAACAATGCTAAATAGATCGTCTGATTCTAGTTGAGCAGCGCCTAAGAAATCATCAAATTGATTGTAGGTTTCATCGTTTGCAAACAATTCTTGTTTACTAGTTAAAGAGCTATTCTCTTCACTAAGATATGAAAAATCGGAACATGGTTCCGTGGAATCATCATCCTGGCCTAATCTTCAGACGGAGATCTCTCCATCAGACTTATCGAAGTCGAAGTCAGCAAGCTGCTTGTCGACTTCAGCCATTCTCTTGTCCATCATGTTGATGGACCCGACAGAAGAATCGTCGTTGTTGTCCAAGTCAGAGCTGTCTGACTTGCGCTTGGCAATGTGGTTGCATTCGCTTTTCTTCTTGCGATCCGCCTTGACAGCGGCTGTGGAGACTTTCTTCATATGGACAGAAAGTTCCTTCTTGGTGTAGGTCTTGGCATCGTCAGACTTACGTTTCCAAGTCTTGTTCTTGTTGTAAGCAGGCTTGCTGTCAGTGTCAGAGGAACGGAACTTGAGTGTCTTCAAAGTCATGCAATCGGCAGTATCGTGAGTGCTGGACTCATGGTAGTCGCACCACTTGCCATCTCCTTTGGAAGGATTGTTGCGATGGGACTTGTGTTTCTTGGAGATCTTCTTTGAGGCAACCGACTTGGTTTCAGGCCCTTTTTCGAAGTCTTCGGAGGATTCCATGCATTCGCAGAATGCAATGAGTTTATCCTAGAGCTGCAGCGAAAGGATCGAAAGCATGTTCGTCCATCTTCTTCATCCAGGATTTAGGAATCCCGTAGCAGACAATGTCAATGATTTCATCATGACTGAGTTTTTGAGCGTCTCCACGATGAGGTGGCAAACGAGTAACCTCTTCGTCATTAATGCGAAGGAGGTTGTTGACATAAGCGCGAGTGCTCATGTCATGAAGCTTACGAATCTTACGACGCACAAAATGCTTCTGTTTCTCGAGAGCCTTGTAAGGACAGGCTGCTTCGATGACGGAGTTCATAGAGGACATCGTCGAGATGCAAAGCCGGAACGGCTACTCCATTCCAAGCTGCGTCGACGCGAGCTTGGTACTGTGGCTGTTTTTCTCCGTTAGCACGTGCAGCAATGGCGTTCACTGCGCGTTGTCGGAGCACAGTGAATGTTAGTCTCGTAGGCACTCTTGTCAGAACCCGTAGTCATCTCGCAAAGGAGATTGTGGTGTTCCGCGGCATCGGCAAGAGCAAGTCCATTGAAGACTTTCTCCATGCGTTCAGCCCACTTGATTACCTGTCGAGGGGTTGACGACCCATCCATGATGGTAACCTTGAAGGTGTACTTGGCACTGTCAGCATCCGCTGGAACAGTGCGTAGTTTGTAGGTGGTAGCTCGAGCATCGTTGATCTCGAGTTCTTCTTCGATGATGAGAGGAAGAACAGGTTTGTCGCGCAACTGTTTGTCATAGTTGTAGTACGCAGGTTTGCTCTGAGCGATCTTCATCGTGAGCAATGGTTTGGATAGGTTGAAGGTAGCTGAAAGCTATTGTTGATAAATTGTGGGATTATATACCACAAAGATTCCCTCCACTATCACCGAATAGATAAGATTTTTCATGATTTCATAGGATTAACAGTACGACGCTTTACCCGTTTTCGTTTCTTACCTCATCTCCTCACAGTAGAACAGATCCTGTACGGGGCCAAGCAGTGGGTAGTTTAGTAGTTCTAGCTACGGTCCCCTGGGAGTTAGGGGTTGTGGGCTTGTAGTTCGATTCTTGATGGTGTTCCCTTGTGTTCCGAATCGTTCCTGCTCCCACGATAATAACTCCATGTCGGAAAGCTCGCTAGTAAGTATGCACTAGTAGTTAAGTAGCCCATAAGTCTTCTCATGCATTCTACAAGTCTGCAGCGACTGGATCCTGCAGGGCTAGAGAAGCACGACAATAAATACGCAGCATGCACTCATTCCGGGGGAGTTAAGGTCTCACATTCCCCGTGACAATCGTACCATCACTCGTAAAGACTTTGGGGGAGAAGTTCACCTCAACCGGTGAGATTAGCAAGTCTCACTCGTAAATAGTATAATATGGTGTCCTCTAGAATAATAATAGTAGTCGTGCTATGGGGGAGTTCTCCTGAAACTCTCAAACGTGACTTAGCAAGGCGAACAACTAGAGCGGAACACCTAAGTCCTTCAGAAAGATCTCCACCTCGCTCGTGAGTTAAGGAAGAACCGGTACTGGTACACCCGTTACGTACTAGTACAGTCAGAATTCCGCTTTCTGTAGTATGCAGGAAGCGTCCCAGTGAAGAACACACCAAGCCCGTGGCTGACTACTGATCGGTAGTTTGCAGTCTTCAGCCATCGTACAGTAGTTCCACTCGTAATTCCCCAAGGAAGACACTAGCTTAGTCGTCTATAGTAAATTAGTACGATCACTGAAGAGTGACTAGTCCGTTCGTACGATCGAATGCGAACACTTCCTAACTCTCACCCTACCGTGAGAACCCTCAGGAATTCATCGTGGTTCCTGGGGGAGCGAATCAGCGAGTTGTTAACAAGAGAACACGTACCTCCACTGACGTCAGTCGTGATTCCATTGAGATTCACGCTTCCGTACCCCTACTGACGTACTTGAAGATCCTTCCGTGACACCAGAAGGCTAGCGCTTGGATACAGGCAGCGCTAAAGCATAAGAAAATACCTGCATACACACCAGTACGTGTAATTAGTGCTGGCTTGTCTCAACTGCTACGAAAGCGGCAGAGCTGTCATAGATATCGTTCGGGAATGGGGGAGTGATAAATTGTGGGATTATATACCACAAAGATTCCCTCCATTATCACCGAATAGATAAGATTTTTCATGATTTCATAGATTGTGTTTGTTAACAAAATGTACTACGCTAAAAGCTAGTGTTAAGATCGTTGAGTTCGTTGTTGAAAGAATGTAAATTATGAGAGAGATTAGAAAGCTATGAAAACTAATCAACGAGAGAGATTATCATCAAGGGATCGTAGACCTGAACTCCCGCGGGAGACTGTAAGCTACTTTGGGTTATCTGGAAGGATGTGCTGCAGTGACCAAACATGAACTAACTCCTTATACATATAGATGAACTTTCTGGATGGTGGTACTGGTGCCGGTGCGTGTTGGTATGGTTCTATAGCACCATCGGGCCTGAAAATGACATGTTTAGATGCAAAATGAGGTCAGATATGCTACTTTGGGTTATCTGGAAGGATGTGCTGCAGTGACCAAACATGAACTAACTCCTTATACATATAGATGAATATCCATTTCTAAAGAATCACACTATTCTTAATAGTCTGATTGCACTCTATTGTAGTGCACCAATACTGTAAAAAACGCTAACAGAAACGGTAACAAAAACGCTAATAAAACGCTAACAAAAACGCTGAGCTCATAGTAATAAAAAACGCTAAAAAACGCATAATATCAAACGCTAAGGGGACCTGTTAGCGTTTAAACGCTACGCTTGACCCTAGCGTTTGCGGTTCCATCCTCTACTCAGAAGAGCTCTCAGCATGGCAGTTAAAGATTCATTGGATGGTCTCCTTTTTACAGGTAATTAGAAGTCACCGTCATCACTTTGTTAAGGGTGAGGCCATTTTAATAGCTCTGGACCATTCGCCGGCATACAGCAAAATAAATCCGGACTTTTTGAAAAATCCTTCTGACAGTTAAAGGCTTAAGAATCCGGCTGTCTTTTAAAAGAGAAGCAGTGCTGGGTGCGTGGTTGCTCTGTTGCTGTGGTTGTGGTCTGTGGTCTTGTGGTGGCATCGGTATTAACGAACTATTGGTTGTACCACCTAATAATACCCTGTACATTGTATCGGCACCAGTACCGTTTTTTCTGTCGTGGTCTATGGGACTTGCTCAAAATGACTGGGGGATGGAGAAATCCCTTCGACCAAGGTTTGGGTGGAGTCTCTCATGCTTAGCCAACTACGACCCTTTACCATTGTCTTCACTGCACCTCTGTTTTAGTACTATCATCATACGATTTTAGCAAAGTGACTGAACTATTTTTTAATAGATCTAAGTAAGTTTACTCACAAACTGCCGAATCGCTGAAACACAGGCTTTACTCTGTGGTAACTTTTTTGGTTATGGGAAAGTTACTATGGGCTAGCTAGCTAGAGGGAACTATGATGAGGAGTGGGTGCTGGGAGGGGACCTCGGGCAGGATGCAGGAACGCAAGCCAAACAGTCGAGTGCGCAAGTAGGGCAGAATCGAAACCAAGGAGGGGTGGTAAGGTACCATACGGTAGGAGTGCAGGCACTGAGAGCACCGATTTTTCCTGGTAGAAAAGGCCTCACCCCCCTGTGGTCGACAGTTAGTTAAAAATACAGAAGCATTCGCTGGTGTCCTTTTTTAATTATTATCAATGACATTTATTTTGGTAACAATAAGGCCATTTGGTTAGCCCATTGTTTCATCTCTAATGCGTGTTTTCTCTGAGTCACCTCCGTAATTAAATCTTCTGTTTTCGATCGATGAACAAAACACAGCAAAGGTTCCATACAAAAACAAACCATTGCTTAAAGATGCGCGTGCTTCAGGGGTATGCATATGTCGTAATGCTAACTAGGATATCTTTTAGTCGCGCACCACTCACTCACGTTATTAGTCTACTTTAGTATTACTAATTTTGTTGTGGGTGGATTATCATTGCTTCATTCATACAGTAGCTGTTCAATGAACTCGCTTTCTCCGTCTGAACTCACCCCCACCCAACGGGCTGTATTCGTGAAGCACTTCCGCATACGGTAGTAGCTGCATTTTTATTCCGGAAACGGCGGAAAGCTGAAAGCACAGCCCACTAACAAGCTGTAAAATAGTCTACCGTGGGTTGCTTGATGAATCATTTGCAAAGAGCAAGTAAAGCAAGCCGCACAAGTCGAACAAGAAACCATGTTAGAATTCATCGACTGTATCTCCTTGGTGGTTCATGCTGGCTTTGTGGCCTTCCTCTTCTCCTCTGCAACTTCCGATCTTCTAGTCATGCGGCTCCTCATTCAGTTTGGCTGGGGTTGCTTCCTGCTACCATGCATACCCACGAATCTCAGTGAGCCCATTTGCTGGACGGGCATCTTTTGGCCCGTCATCAATCTATACATCAATGGTTGTGCACTACTACGTCTTCTGATGGACGAGAAACCCGTCCACATGAAGGAAGAAGAGGAGGCCCTTTGGCGAGTCTTCTACCGTTTAGGAGGGGTATCCAAGATGATTTTCTACCATGTTGTTGCAAGAAACATGGAGGTTGTTCACTACAACCCTGACGACGACATGCCAACATCCGAGTACTTGTTCATTGTGTATCGAGGTTCTTGCCATGTCGAGATCAGGGACAGCAAGGAAAAGGTGATCAGGGATTTCACAGCTGCCTCCTTGGTCATGTTTGACTTGAAGCACATGGACCTGCTGCATGGTCAGAAAAAGGACACCTATAGGATGCAAGCCACTTGCAAAACACATGTCACTGCCCTGCGGTTTCCCCTTCATGTTGTCAAGGAAATGACCCATACAGCAAGCGTCAAGGGCGCCTGGCAAAATCTTCTCATTGAGAATCTATCCAGCATCTCACTGGATCGGTACAGAAGAGAAGGAGTCTGCCCCATAGCAGTGGACCCTCTTTTCGCTCCATTGGAAGATTGGGAGGTTCCAGATGCCTCCAGTCCGGGTTCGGGGCTTGTTCCGCAAAAGCCATTCTCTCATTTGTGGGCAATGATTCGTAAGCACTATTCGCTTCCTTGGCCATTTGGGGAGATTCCAGTAGGTCTTCGGCACATTGGCCTTCCAGCACCCGACCGACACTCCAAATCTCTGTCGAGCTCCTTGTTGTTGCTAAACCAATCCAAGCATAAGAGTTCCAAGGCATCCAAGAGCAGGAGGAGTAAAAGAAGATCATCCTTTTCCTTACCAGGCAGGCGCGCATCGTTTGGGTCGGTGTCACTTTCGACAAGATTATCTTTTTGCAGCATGAAGAGATCCAGTAGCACTTTCTCTTTCAGAGACGACTCATCATTTTCCTTTGCCGAGCAAGACGAAGAGCTCTCCTGTAGCCTCGATGACTCTGACCTCGACCTCGATCTCGATGTCTCTAATACGAGTATTGAGTCTGGTTCCCTCGTGGTTGGAGGAGGTGAGCGCCGAAGAAGATCATCAATATCCGAGAAGGTCGGGTTCTCAGTATATGGATCTTCGGAGCATCAAGTGGATGAAGAGCTAGGCTTGTGCTGTGATTCTCCTTCCCCCCTTAGCCCCGATTCTACCACTACCAGTACCAGTAGCTGGAAGGAGGGCATGGGTGAGAGTATGGTGTTTGAAGTTTGAGCATGTTTCACCCGCCTCTTTCAGTCCAAGTAAGATCGAAACAAAGAAAATTGAAACCCCTGGCGACCACTTTTCTTCTCGTGCACTCCATGCAATCACCGCTCTCTCCTCCGTGGCTCATGCGCACCACACCAACCCAACACGCCATGAAGCTTGCATACAGTACATACACGTACACAAAACCTCCCCTCTGCAATTGTGGAAAACAAGAAGGAAGACAAAGAATCTCACAAGTATGGACGGAGCACGGTCTTCCCGCAGCACGGTCTTCCCGCAGCACCTACTGCAGCTATTAGAAAAGATACTATTCATACATAATTTAATAATAATCATACATTAGAATGCTATTTGGTCCATCGATCAACGTGTTTTGCAGCGTACGATGCAACACACCACTCGGCACTGGTCAAATAAATAGGTACCAGTACTTCATGACTCGACTCGGGCCCGACCGTCTTGCTGGCAATCCACTAATAGTGCAGGGATCACCTGGATTGTCGTCTTCCACTTGCATGACAAATAGCAATACCAGTCTTGACGACCGCTTCATTGAGGACCCGTGCCGTACATTACTAGCTAGCTAGTACGGTACGAGCTACCTTTCGTTTTTCTTGTTTCCTGGCTCTGAGGCCGCGCTCTGCCTTTATCGTACCATCTCTAACCCTTTTGGTGGAGTATATTCCCTTCCACTTCCGGTTTCCACGCCACGATGAAAAGTTTTTGTCAGCGGAATTCGATTTGGTATCTCTAACCCTTTTGGAGGAACGCAACCAGTGACGGAGATGCAGCCAGGGTCCATCGACGACCATGGCAGTCCAAGCATAAATGAGAGGTTTGTGAATCTTTTGGTGACGGCTGCTGCTGCTGCTTCTTGGCTACTGTACGACTGTACCTTTTAGACGACGAGTCGAGTCCATTCAAGTCAATTGATGAGAGATAGCTAGCTAGCAAGAGGAGGAGAAGAGAATCATCGACTGCTGTCAATAAGCAGAAGACCATCGAGAACGCCCAAGAATCTTGGGGACTTTCCGCTGACACTGAGAGATCTCTTGTACAAGTCAGTTGTCAATCGAATCGAATCGAATCGCTGTGAGATTTTTGTTAAGTGCTCCTCATCAGTGCGGAAGAGAGTGAGATTGGAAAAGAGACAACCAACAAAGCTGTCAAGAATTATTTTATTTTTGTCAAGATTTATTTTATTTTTGCCATTTTGGGTTTCTCGCTGAGCCTGATCCAGAAGCTTCAGAAGTCAACAAATACAGTGTGGCTGGGCTGCGAACTGATCCAAAAAATCAAGTCAAACTAGACTGAAAAAAGATCAGGAAAAATTGATTCAGTCACGACCAAGACAAGAAGACAAAAGAAAGAGGGAAGACAAAGAGGGGAAAAATCAGTGCAGGTCAAGTTTGGTGAATCGAATCAGTAAACCCATCAGATAAATCAAGATCAGATCAGATCAGATCAGATCAGATCAGATCAAGAAAACAAGATCAGATCAGATCAGGTCAGGCAAGGAGAGGACCACCAATACTTTCTGCTAGCTAGAAGATAGCTGCTAGCTAGAAGATGACCTCCGTGATCAGCTACCTTGTTGGGTCCTTTCAATACTCTGACAGAAACAAAGACAAGAATACAAGCTCAAACAACTCAAACACGACCATGAGGAATGGAGCAGCCAGAGCAAGCACCAATAATGAATCCACTGAAACCACATCTCTCTTGAACGCCAACACGGCCAATAGCACCAGCAATGGTCAACTCGCGGAAAGCTACAGAACTGCCGTCATGTCACCCTCCACGGCAGAATTGTTCCAACAAGCTGGCATTCCCTATTCCGACACCAACGATGACACCACCGCCAACAATGAGGACGACGACGAAGAACAACAACCTCTCACGGACGACAATGACAGCACGAAACAGGAACAGCAACCACTACCACCCGGCAGTAGACCACCCACTGTCAACGAATTCTATTTCTCACCCGACAATCCCTCCGTACAACGATACTATCGTTTCACATCCACCGCTCTCACTCCCATTGCCGCACTCCACCGGAGACCCCAAAATCCATACGATCCCAATCACGCGGCTAACAACAATAACGCTGGCGTCACGGGTCTCTTGCGACGCAGTGCCGTTGTGCCCAGTCACGGTACCGATGCCACGGGCGATTGGATTCTCGTCAGTGTCGGTGGTCGATCGGGATGGGCCCGCAAACAAACGCCGTCCCAACCCCATGCCGGTTCCTTTACACCGGCACCCACATTTGCCGCCACGGAAGGATGGATGGGCAATCATGCCTTTTTGTGTCACGGAAAAGTCATGTTGGGGTCGGATGCACCCTCTCTCATCTTTACGAATGGATTGTTACTGCTGGGGGCATTCTTTCATTTTTGGATTGTCTTGCCCAATCTCGCCGTCACGGTGCTACACCAACAAGAACAACAACAACAACAACAAGGAACGAGTAGTGAGACTAGCCCCAACGGGTACACGTACACGTACGATTCCAGTCAACATCAAAATCGATTCACGTCGTGGTTGTTGCTCCTGTCGCCGAATACCATGTTTTGGTCCAGTCTCGTTCTATTCCTCTTGAGTTGGATCTTTCTGTGGATATCGGCATGTATGGATCCAGGGATTCTACCAGGTACGTAAGCGGTACATGTGCGCGAAGAAGGCGAAAATCCAAACGGCATGACAAACGAGAAACACGACGATTCAAGGCATCGTTCCTCATCATTTGTTTCGTTGTCGTTGTCCTCTACTATTACGTTATAGCGGTCTCGTCACCGATCAAGGCACCCATTCCCAACGATGGGATTCCACTCGGTGGACCCGTAGGATATCGATATTGTTCCACGTGCAACATCTTTCGACCGCCACGGTCCAAACATTGTAACAGTTGCAACGTGTGCGTCTCCAAATTTGATCAGTAAGTACAAAGAGAAGAAGAAGAACGACACATGGCATCACGTTCGTTAATCTCACGCTCTCTTTTGACACGACACGACACATTCAATTCTATTATAGCCACTGCCCATGGGTTGGCAACTGCATTGGAGAACGAAATCATCGATTCTTCTTTGTCTTTCTCGTGAGTATTGCCGCATTGACCATCCTCGTCACCGCGTGTACAGTACGGCTCTTGTTGGAAGCTTATTATGAGACGGCCGTTTTCGACGAAAATGGCGTGGAACAAACAACCACGGGGACAACCAACAATCATAATTACGGCGGCGGACCCTGGGATGCCAAAGAGCTAGCCGCCATTGCGAAACGGTTGTGGAAAGCGGTACGGAGCATGCCCTTTACCGTTCTCTTTGGGTCCTTTACGTTGCTCTGTGCGTGGTCCTTGGTGTCCTTGCTGTGCTTTCATGCCATGATTATTTCCGTGGCACAAACCACCAATGAACGGGTTCGTGGCGTGTACCGGTACGGGGGTGCCTCTAATGCCGCCGATCAAGGATGCTGGAGAAATTGGATCCACGCCTTTTGGTCGAAACGACCCGTCAGTCGATTACCGCTCGACTTTTCCGATATCGTCAATGTCGATTACGCCACGCTGCCCGAATCTCCGTGGTTGGGCGAAGAAACTACTTTAGCCGCATCCAACTCACAATCTAATATGGGTGGCGGGGCTAATCATCATCATCCGCAACCATCAAGCACACGGGTATAGCGGCGGCGGACGATGATGATGGTTGCAACGGTTGGAAAATCAGTCCATCGATGCATGATCTGGATGTAATATCTGTGTGTGCGTGTGGCAGTTTCATATCATGTTCTCTGTGACGTGGATGCGATCAAGTCACAATGGGTTTCAAGAGAATAGTGACAAACGTTTGTGGCTAGTTGTGTTTTGTAAAAGTGCTTTATTATGCATTGTTGTTTAGGACTGGGCCGATCGGGCATACCAGTATGTCTGTACTGGAGGGAAGGGAACCTCCTCTGGGCTGGCAGAATTCGTTTGCTTGATCATATGTTTTCATGTTGGCTGTCTGGCAAAGAGGTGTGTTCCCAGCTTGACTTGGGAGATAGGGACCCGGTACTGCCAGATATTCCCAGCAGAGTCAACCTCGGAACTGGTACCTTTTCCCACCCGACTATGCTCCCTCACTGTTCTGCATTTGGCTATTGGGTTGCACCACTCTGAAGGCTGTCCCATGTAACCTCCCATTCCCCAGAATCCTTTCTGCCGTGTTTGACTTCCGTGACTCTAGAGCGGACACGAACGGTAGGTTGCCATGGCCGAGTTTCTCGGCTCCCCTTCCCTCTACTACTAGCTAGCTAGTCCTGCATGGCTGCTCGCGGCGAGCGCCGCTTGTCGGCTCTCGAGTGCTGCGTCAATCAACTGTCTTTCCCAAACTTTAGGTGTTCTGTTCTACGTACTGCAAATAGCTGTGACAAAGGTGGTAGAACACTTACCGAAAGTGACAAGCTCGCGTGGCATCACAAATGCTAAGTTTAAATATCTAATATCGAGTTTTCACATCTGGTTCACTGACGATCTGCTATGAGCTGATTCTTCTTGTACTGCAGCACGATGATAGCAACTACAGAGCAGCCAAACAGGAGTTGCAGGAGGCGGATTTGAGCGACCAGATCAGATGCATCTTGCTTTTCACCATGATTTGAGATGGTGACCTTGTTGTGGTTCCCATTCCGACGCTCACGCATGGGCAATCTCTCAGGGCCTACCTGGGCAGAAGTTTGGCCCAAAATCGCATCCAGCTTGTGATGAAGTTGGATCTCCATCTGTGCTGTTGCTGCCAGCTGCTCCGTCATTCCATTCTCAAGTCTGATAATGTGCTCTCGTTGCTCTAAAAGTTGCTCTCGCTGCTGCCAAAGTTGCTCTCGTTGCTGTAAGACTTGCTCTCGTTGTTTCAAAGTGTGGCCATCAATGCCTTCTCTTACAGCCAAGATCAGCTGCTCCTCCATCGAGGGGGGGGCATCCAATGAGTAGCTCTGTACATCAGATTCGTGTAGGATCAATTCCAGATTGCGCACACTGAACTTGTAGTCAATAGAATTGCCACTGAAGTCTAGCAATAGTTCAGGCACTGAATCATTGAAACTTGCCAACCTTCGTCCATCCAATGCTAGATTGGCTTCTCTGGACAACCGTGCCAAGACATAGAATGCCCCCAGTGGAGTGTGGTCATTACTGACCACCTCTGATTCAGTCTCTTCTCCCAGCTGACGGCCAAAGCCAGGAGTTGCTGGAGCCATCTTGACCCGAGCCACAGTCTGATTTGATGACTCACACCACGCACTCAAGATCTCCAGGCGAGTTGGGTCAGCTAAGTTCAACAGCTGTGTGATTCTGACCTTAACATCATCCTTGTTGGTGGTCGTGCTGTTGCATGGTCCACTTCCCAGCATCATGTCAAATGCGGAGCCTGTCTTGTTCACATCCAGATTTGCAAATGTCTTCTTGAACTCAACGGCTTGTGTAATGAAATTTCCTTGCAGGTCTTGGACACCTGTTAAAGATACTGTCATTTCACGGCCCATCAGCACATCATAGCCCATAAGCTCATCGAACAGGAAACCAACCTTTCGTTCGTTGCAGTCAATATTCAAATCGTTGGAGAATTTGGCTTTGAAATAAAAAGGATGCAGCAAAGAAACACATTCAAAGTGAGAAACAAGGAAATTGATCTCAGCATGTCGTATACCTGTCCAAAACATACTGTATTTTGCATCTTGTGTCCCAGTGCCATCCTTGATGCCAGACACCTGAACAATCAGGTCAAATCTCAAAGGTAATTCACAGACAATGGGCTCGGTAAAGATGATCGAAACTTCTTCTCCTGGGACCACAACGTCTCGCACTGGCAGCATACCGTACACCTTGGGAGCTATTCGATCAACAACAATCAACACTGGCTCTGTTGTAGTCTTCTTGAAGTCGTCAGGGGCCTTGGGGAAATCTTGGCATCTGTGGTGCAAAAATACAAATTGATGAGAGAACTGGCTACTACACCATTCAGCACCTTTGCCACTGGTGGGTACTTGCCTTGTTTCAACAATGACCTCATAACGGCCATCTGAATCTGTGTCAGGAATGTGAATATTCTGGAAGTTCCAGTTGATCGTTGCATAACCATAGTCATCCTCTTGCCCAACAGCTTCAGGGATGGCCGTAAAGTTGGCTATCTGTTGCTTTGACACATCCAAATAGGCGGGTCCATAGTCATACTCGCCCTCGCCAAGTTTTCTGACGTAAGGAATGACTTCTTGAAGTCTTGTGTCCTTCACCAGACTTGCCAGATCTCCTTCCGCCTTCTTGGGGTTGCGAATGATGAGAGGAATAGGATCCATTTGGTTCGCAATGTTCACAACAAATTTCTTTTCTCGCTCCAAGGCTCCAGCCCACTTCATCACAGGACATGGCTCTGCAAACTTGATACACGGGTTTCCCTGACAAAGGTCGTTCGACAAAAGAACCGTCTTGGCCTCTGACCCAGTACCATCCCAATCTGCTTGCATTTGAATAAGCGTCGGAGTAAACTGGTATCCTCGACTTGGTCTCCAAATCTCCATTGTTACCACGCGGACACCATTGAATGGGCCAAAGTCATGGGCAACAGCCAGATCATTGCCTGTTGGGGATGCAAATGAGTTTTTCAGAAACGTTAGTAGACGAGACATTGTTTTAAAATAGTCCAATGTTTGCTACATCTGTTCAAGCTCGACTTACCTCCCAACTTGTGTGTTAGGCCATCCGGGTTGGTTGTGTGGTCAAGGAATACCACAAAGGCACTTGTGCGGTCATTCACATTGTTTGCGATGGTGAGTGTGAAAACCATAGGCTCATCAGGTAGAACAGGCTTGTTCGGCCTCTGAACAACTCTGAGATCAATATCTTCTCCCCGTGCTGTGGGTGAACCTTCCCACTATGAAAGCAATCCAAAGGAGCAAGACAGCAACAAATGAAAACAGATTTTTAGTAGAATGCACCTGATTGGCCAATAATACGAATACTCAAACTTCTGGTGAAACTTACGGGAGCACTGGTTGTTCCGGCGACAGTTCTGAAGATGACTGTAGTCCATACAAATAAGAGACAACAGCGTAAGTCGCAGGCTTCATACCAGGCTTCATACCTGATGCGATGCATCATTCCACGCCAGATGTTTTATTACTCACAAGTTCCAAACTTGGGATCGACGAAAATGTCCAAAACAAAGTCATCGTCCTTGTCTTCATCACCGAGAACAAAAGAAACTGTAGTCTCTTTTTCTTCCCCGTCGGTCTCTGTAAAAACCTGTGATCTTGTGGTCACATGTGTTAGCTCAAAGCTGCAAGCATAAGAGAAAAGAGCAGGTGTGAGTACAAAGCTGCCACAAAAGCACAGCAAGGACTCTTGACTAAAGTATTGTTCTCAGCACTTACCCGCCACCGATCATAATTCCAGGACCACCAGACATGTCAAAACTAAGGGTTCCTCCAAAAGTGCTTTCTTCGTTGTTCAAAGCTGGGTTCAGCTGGCTTATCTCAGTAATACCGGCATGACCCATTGTAAATTCCATTGTGCCTCCACCACCGCTGAACTGAAGCCTGTTGGTCTCCTTCAGGTCCTTCTTGCCACTTTGCGACCCAGGCTTGATATACGGAGCATTCTGCACTGTGATGGCTCTGTCTGTTAGTGCTTCAGGAGTCACTTTCGCCCAATGTGCTCCTGGTGCAATGTCAGGCTTCATGGCTTTCGCGCGGTAATATTCTTCCTGGTTGGCAAAGTCAACAAAGAAGATTCCAGTCATTGGAGGAGGATCAACATCAGAAAACATTTTATCCTTCTTTGCCGCCCACTTGTCAAACCATTCACGGGCTGGAATGAGTTGGTTCTCTGCCATGTTGTTTGTGGCATCATATGCTGTCAACGAATTATTCCAACTCTTCAGTGCATAGTCCAAAGTATCATATTGAGACTTCAGCTTCGTCTTATTCTGTACATCTGTTTCGTTCCCCCACCTGTATCGGTACTCCAGAGCCTTGGTCTCCAGTGAAGGAAGCATATGAGTTTCCAAGTAGTAGACACTAAAGAAAGAAACAGCAGGCTTGTTCTTCTTGTCTTCCAGATTGAATTTGGTTGTGGTGGTCACATTGGTCGAGCAACTTTCAGGATGCCACTTAAAGTTCAAAGTCTCAGAGAACATAACATTCAAATTAGGCACCACAAACACATCGGATTTGCGTCCAGCAAGCATTGGATCGTCACTTGTTGTGTAGCTGGAGGTAACATTGTGAGGAATGTAGTTCAGCAATCAAACAAGGCGTAGCTAGCTCTCCGATCTGAACCTACCTCCAGGTCGTTGTATACTCTGCAGTAAAAACCTCTTCCTTGTGCTCCTGATAGGTAACATCCTCGCTGTCGAAGCCACCACCGAGGCCATCACCTGACAAGCTGAAACTTTTGAGACAAATTGAGAGGCCAAAACCAGCACAACTTCCTTGATCAATGTCGGCTCCAATGTGCAGTCGAGAGTTGTGTGAAAGATCTTCCAGCTTCTCATGTTCTGCAGACTTCACCCTCATGGCTTTTACACGAATGGAACAGATGAGTAAGTCTCCATGGATCACAGCAAAAGTAATATAGAGCAACACAAGTAGCAGTAAACATACTGGTCTGCACATTCTCATAGGATGCCTGTGAAAGCCCTCCTGGGGGATCCCGAAGAATCAGAATGGGCTCATAGGTAGGGAGAGCAAATGATTTTCCTTCTCCCAATTTGTAGTCACCTGTTACAACCAGCTCAGCTACGTGGGTCAAGACGCGTACGCCCTGCTTGGTCACCTTGACTTTGAATGTCTTCCGGTCTATAGCCGCAAAACAAAGAAGAGAACTAGGTCAGACAAGGGCACAGTCAAAGTGATTGTTGAGAGTGCTCCTCATGAACCTGATACTTACAAGGGGAGTCAACCCTGGTATCGTACATGGCAAGAGAAAATGATGTACAGTTAAGACTTGGTCACACAATATGGAAGAACAACTAAAACAACCAACCCAAGCTGTACATACCTCGGGCGTCCAACTATAAACTGGATTCTGTTTCCCCTTGCATCCTTGGGAGTCACACGCGCATTTGACTTTACGTCATTGGTGTTGGTATGATCAACCTTGAACTTGCAGGTGTTCTGAGGACCACAAATCTCATACTGTTTGACTTCATCTTCCTTGAGACTCTTCTTGTACTCTGCCCACTTGGCATCAATTCCCACACTGTTCTCAATTTCAACTTCAATATCATCGCCAACAACATCACAGTACATATCCGTCATTAGCTTGTATCTGAGACTCACAACAGGCTAAGAAGGCACAAACAAGGTACAAAGTTGAGCCAAGGAACCTAGTGAAAACAACACCATTTCGAGGACAATCGTGGCAGACACATCTTGACCTACCCTGAAGTAGTAACCGGTCTTTGTGATGTGAAGCGAGTAGGTAGTACCAGCTTGCTTCTTTACCAAAGACTCAGGCCAAACATTTTCTGCAAGACACTGCTGCGGGTTGCGGTAGTCCTTTCCGCCAAATGCGAATCCACTTTCCAAAGCACCATCATACTGGGTGTTGCCAGAATGAGGAAACATGTGAGTTGCGTGGTGGTCTATAGTGATTGGAACGGCGTCAAACCCCCTTGACATACCTGAAAGCGAAGCTCGGGGACACGCTTCATTGGAGATTCTGGTTCAGCAGCTCCTACTGCTGATTCGTCCTTGGGCGCAGCTTTTTTGCCCTTTTCTTCTTGCTCCTTTGCCACTTCCTCGCGAAGATCAACAGCCTTGGTCTGGGTCTTGTCCAAAAAGTGCTTGGTGATGTCTTGTAGCTTCTGTGGTGGTTTTGTCTTGTTTCTATCATCTCTTATCTCGAGAACTCGTACATCCAGGACATGGGCTGGGAGCGAGTGCTGTTGCTTCCACTGACCTTGCGGACGCACGATTGGCGGCTGTGAGCTGCACACTTCCACTTCAATCTTACTTCTGCCCAAGCGTAGATCACACTCTCCTCCGGCAATCTCAACATGCAAAGAGGGCTGCCTTCTGAATGTCTACAAAGTCATTTCCAACATAACGCCTCTTGGGGTCAATGAACATTCCCTTCTCATAATCAAGAACATTATCTGGAGCCCTCACAATCTTATGCTCAAAGTAGGCCACCCTAACTCCAACCTGGATAGAAAAATGTAAAAGTGAGAAGTGAACATCCACGGCCAAACTACAAACCAAACTTGACGCTGAAGAATTGTACTCACTGTGGTCCCAATGGTAGCTGGTAGATTGAAGTTTCCAGCACCATCAGTCTTAACACAAGCCCCCTGGACATCAGGGAAATTTGGTCGTTTCTGTGCCACACAAACATCTGCCCCAATCAAGGGGCAGCCACCATACTCCATGATTGATACTCTTCCTTTGATAGGGACAGACGTCTTGTCACGGGCTTCGAAGGGTTCGTCGAACTCAAGGTGCTTTAGATAGACAACTATGCCATCTTCACCTGAGCAGTCAACGGTCCCATCTTCACAAACAAATTCATGAACAATTGGATCACTCCCAGCCAACTCTGTCTTCTTGTCAAACGTGATGCGAATGGGGAAAGCAGTGTCACGGTTGAGAAACTTGTTGATGCTGTCGTCCACATCAAACTCCATCTTGAATTTCCCTGGCTTCTTCGTTGTGGCAGTGCCTTCATGAAGGACAACAGTTTGCTGCAGGTTCATCAACTGCCAGTTTACTTTGACATCCTCGACAGGCACCTTTCCTTGGTCTGTAACAATTCGCCCCTTGATCGATGCTTGCCACCTCACAAAGTGGATCTGTTGCGTTTTTGTTAGGCAAGAGAAACATCAAGAGAAACATGGATATGGCAGGTCAGAAATGCATGTCAAGCCAACATCCATCCTCAATCATAGCTATCTGGAGATTTCATACCTTGCAGGCGTCATCACTGGAATGTGTAGCGTCAGCTGCATAACGCTCTGCGACAGCTCTGATGCAGTATCTGTATGGCTCTGATACCTGCAGTCTTGAGAACTTGAGATCATCGGCAGCATTGGTTCCTGGCTTGACTGGAGATTTTGTGCACTTCTCCTGTAATGTGCCAATGATCCAGGATTAGACACTGTAACCACAATTGGCAAAAAAGTTTTGATAAGCTTCATTCTCTTACCTTTGCAAAATTGGCAAAGTTCGGAGTGAAGGTCTGTTTGAGACTCGCATCCGCCTTCACAAACTCTCCAGCACCCACTTCGGTCCTAGTAAATGCATAAGCTTCTGAGCAGCGCGAATTATCCACAAATTCAAACGTAACCACACCAAGAACTTGATGGACCCTGATGTCGATGGGCCTTCCAGTGGTATCATCATGCTGTGTGGACACTTCACAATCACAGCAACAGTAGGTCATTTGGTTCACACCGTCAAAGAAAATGTCACTGTGATCCGCATCATCACTGATCGTGTACTGATACTTTGTTCCAGGACGCAGACCATTGAAAGTTGTCTTATAAATATCCTTGGTAGGATCCAATGCTACCACATTCTGTACCGTCGAGTCCCATTTCTTGACTACTTCTGGTGCTTTGTCCGGGTCCTTTAATTAGAGGAGATGTCAAGGGGAGAGAAGTGAAAAAGAGTGAGACTTTTACAGATTCTGAAGCTCACAAGGCGGGCTAAGCAACGAAGATCCTGCTGAACCTTACATCTGTGTCATAACGAAGCATCTTGACCTTGACCTTGGCCAAGCCTTGCTTCTTTATCACCACATCGAAAGAATCAAAGGAGACCTCATTTTGGTTGTCTGCATCTTCGGCGAGGATACATGTGTTTCCCGAGCCTGATGACACTGCATTTGCACCGTATTTGCTGCCAACATATCCCTTCTTACACTTGCAAGCTGAATAATCCGCAGCACATGTGGAGTGGTTTACTTCATCGGGGCAGACAGAACTGAAAAGGGGGCAACCAATGAATTGGCATGGATGGGTGAGCATGGTTTGATGGTATTTGGCCCTAAACAAGAGTTCTCTCTGCTTACGGTTGGTAGTAGCAAGTATCCATTTGCTGACAGCCTGTGCCTTTCTTGATGGGTTCTTCTCCACAACCACAGAAATGGGGATTACTCCAGAAAAGATTCGGAAATTTGGCTGCTGTTCCAAGATCTTCTCCAGAGTTGACAAGATCCCTTCTTTGTGTTGGTGATGTTCTTGCACTGGCAGCAATGCTTGACTTGTAGTTCCCAATCTCATCATGTTTCGAGCACCTGTCGTGGAAACACGTATAAGCTTGTATGAGACTGCGAAATCACCATGCAAGGAAGCGTTCATAGAGTTCAGGGAACTTACTTGAAAAGGAAGACAAAGTCTGCTCCTGGAGACCAATTCTTCCAGTACTGTCCGTTGATCTGTTTGTAGGCCTGATGAGAGTCCACATTTCCCTGAACAGGCATGTATTTCAGTTGCAGTTGATTTGATGATCCAAAAACATCAGTTCCAAGACAATAAGGAGTCCCGTATTTCTTTGACGCAGCAAGATGTTTGTAGCCGACAAATCCAGTAATTGGGTCCTTGTATAGCTCGACAGCAGTGTTTTCCCAGTTATTGTGCGCATGAAATGAATCACTATAAAGCGCCTTGTGTTCATCATGGAAATCGCATGGCTTGAGTTGGGCATATGGAACAACAAAGTCCTTCTCATCATCTGACAACAATTAAGGGTAGGGATATTGAGCCGCAGAGTGTATAAGGTTAAGAGTACAAGAAAAGCAGACACAATCCATTCTGATACACATACCCGGCCACATGGAGATCTTGTCACTGCAATAGGGCCAGACACCATATTGTGTGCAAGCCTTCAACAACATGTAGCTATTGTCTCCGTGCCACCCATATTTATGTGTTCCTGGAAGCAGTAAATATTCAGGGAAGAACTTGTTGATCATCTCGACCTACATTCAAGAAGGATTGTCAGTAACTGTCACCAGTTCCAAAATCAAGTCATCCACTACCTCACAAAGACATACATAGTAGAAACGCGCTCTATCCCATTGAGCGCCGAAGTACCAAGGCAATGAAAAGACTAACTTCTGCTTCACGCATCTCATATAATCGGTGCTCGGAATGTTATAGGATGGAAAACCAGACCAAACATTACCGAGTGCAACATAGCCATTTGGACAGATTGGGAGCCACACCACGCACCAAAAGATTCCTTTATTCAAACATTGAGTATTGGGGATGTACGTGATGGGAGCAGCCAGGGAATCACCGCCACCCTTTGCCACGGCGATTGCTTTCGATCTCGCAAAATCAGTATTAATGCTATCACCAAGTCTGTAAAGAATCAGAACAAAACAGCGACATCAATATAAAGGCAGAGGATCGAATGAACATTGTGGCTCAGTCAGACGGCTTACCTGAAGTACCCTGGCGGAAGGTCTCTTTCAGAGACTCTCAAAACACGGAATCCCCTGTCAAACCATTTCCAGTAGACCACATCCTAAAACAAATAAAAATACACAAGAACAAGAAATAAGATTGCACACTGTTTATACTGGATAGCTTTTGCTTGCAATTCGTTAACGAACTTACTTCGGTGGCTGATTTTGTCTGGACATCCAGGAAATCCGCTGTTTCAATGTTGTAAGCCTGGACTTTATAGGGGAGCTCAGTTGGGGCATAAGCGTCAAAGTAGGGGCACAAGGAAGAACGTGCATATGGCGGATTGCCATCATTGTACCGCATTATTGTCTGTGTTGAGGCCCCAAAGTCTGTGGGGGTGCCAATGTCATCCTTGTAGAAACCATTAATCGTTTCCCTTTGACTGCAGATGCTTGTAGCAATCCCTTTTGCCCCCGCCTGTTTTCAGCAAAATCACCAGTGTAAGTTGGACTCTGCAACACATTCAAAAATTTCAAGTGGTTGAAATACTTACTGAAACAGCTTCATCATACAACTTGATGTTACTGAATCTGCTCATTCCTGCCTCGGGATCAGCATCGTTGTCTTGAATCAAGGAGATATACTTCATGTTGGTGTTGTGAGGCTGTTCTCACAAGGAAAACAACAACAAGAAATGTCAATTCTGGCAACAACTCAAGAAGTCATGGCATGTATCTGCTGTGCTACTTACAAGGTATGATTTTCCTTTAGACGGCCCCTCTGAGACAGATCCAAGTTTGATTTTGTAGTGGAACTGTGAAACAATCCATTCATTTTAGATTTGCTCAGTGTTACAGAACCAAGCAGAAGGCAAGGGAGAGATTCTCTTACCTTTGAATCAGGCGCCCTCCAACTGTCTCTCTTGTCGCCCTCCCTTGGAATCTTCCAGGTTTCAAACCACGATGGATCTCCCTCTGTTCCTGCCAGCATAAAACAACGATGCTGTCCTTCAATTTCAACGTCTTCGTTGGTGTCTTCGTCGACGCTGCGGAAAACAATTTGTTTGAGTCTTTGACACCAATCAAAGTTTTAACAACAGAAGACACAGTCATGAAACCTTACCAGATCGCATGCCCCTCGGTCTCATTCCTGTGCTCAAAGGCACCTGGGTAGTACGGCAGTGAAAGAATATAAGAAATTAGTCACCAAGGTTACATCAAAGACTTTCACTTGATGTAAGTAGTTTCTTACGGTGCCTTCGGTAACAGTATATTCACTGCCCAGTGAAAAAGCTTTCCAGACATTCCCAGCCAAGAGTATACTGGCGCCTTGATCAAGAACAATGTACTTCCCAACACCGTCTTGGCCAATTCCATATGGAACAGCCCGTCCCAGCGTCCTCGAACTGTCCTTGATGGTAATTTTGAGTTTCTGCAAGGGAGGCCCAGACAACGGAGAGAGTGATGGTCAGGAAAGCAATGACAATACTTGTAGAGTTATTACCACCATTCACATGACGTACCCCTCCACAAACTTTCTTATCTCCATCTTGATGGCATTTTGATTCGCCAACGCAGTCCTCATCTTTGGTGCATACAGCTTCATTGTACCCTTTGCACTGTTGATAGAAGCAATTGTCAACAGTACGGCATTGTCCAGATGCCGTTGGCTCCTCTTTCTCACCGCAAATGTGTGGTTCTCTCCATGGAGAGCTTGCTTTGCACTTCATGTCCGCATGGTTGCAATGCCTTGCTGCTTCTCCCAGGTCCTCGTCAATGTTGACAAGACCACTTTCAACACTTCCGTCCATGCTTGCTTCAGCTGCGGCATCCGAAAGCTTCTTCTTCAACTCCACCACCGGGTTTGTTTCAGAACAAGGGAAGAGAAAGACAAAATCACCTGCAATCTTGGTTGACAAGAAATTGCCATTTGTTCCTTCAGTGATGTTCTCAACACTTTCCTCAATAACGAGGCCTTCTGCGGGGATGTCTGTTACGATGCCCCAAGGTGCTTCCAGCCAACATATCCAGACTTGTTGTGCAATTCAACCGCATAATTTTCCCACTCATTATTGGGGTTGTCTTGTCCGCCATAGATCCTTTTGTCTTCTTGCTGGAAGCCACATGGTTGAAGCTTGGCATATGGAATATCAATCTTGGTTTGGTTTGCAACCTCCACTTTCCAAGGAGTGCCAGGGTTGGCACAGAATGGTACGGACCCATGGCCCACAATGCACTCCTTCCTCCTGAAGATAAACATGAGCCATTAAGATTTGTGAGCTTGCTCATAATTAACAGACACCAAGACGCTCAATACCAACATAAAACTTACAGTGCATAAAACTCTTCCAAAGGTGCATCACAAGCCTCACAACCCCTAGAAATGAATGTACCCGGAGAGATGGTTGTTTTTGTCTGTGTGGCCTCCCACCTGGCAAGCATCACTCGATGGTCAGACGGCTGTCACTGGTTTAGGCGATCCCACAATGGAAATTATACTTACAGAGTCAGCTCATCAAAGTCAAAATTCGATTGGCTGTCCCACTGATACTTTGGATCCTTCACTGCCTCTACATACACTGTCTGGATACATCGGACAAGATCAGTGGGTGGCTCAGTGTCATCAATGGTCCAAACATGCCCCAGGCATGTGTATCCTGTCATGGAAGACATGAGAAGGATTTCAGTGAACAACAAGCAAAAAGAATTTGAAATATGGCAAAACTAATCTTCAAACGTACCAGGCGGAGGAATGGGTCTCCAAAGAGAAGGTGGAGTGACAGTTGGAGCACTAGATGGGGCAGAGGAAGCGCTGTCGGTTGCGTTTGTGGTGTTGAGGGGAAAAGTAGGTCCTGCGGGGGGGCTTGTTGGTGCTGAGGTGTTTGAACTGATGAGATAACGTGCTGCAATCTCGGGTGTTGGAGCTGGTGCTGCATTCAAATCAATGACCTCAATATCACTGTACAACTCTTCGGTGTTGTAGGACTTGAAGCCAAAGAAAGGCCGTTCGCCTGGTGTTGTGTCAGGAAGAGACACCATGATAAACCTAGAGGAATGGTTTGAGGGATCTCGGCCAGTTCCCATCTCAAATGAGAGCCCACCTGATTCTGCCAGAGAGCACACCCAAAAGTCATTTGGTGTCCCATCCAGAAATGATGGTGTGTAGTTGGTTGAGTTGGTTGAGTTGGTGTCTTTGTGGTCAATAACATTCAGAACTTCACCATTCGCAATGAACCACGAATGTGCTCCCCATCTTGTACCCAACTCAACCCACAACCAGTCCATGGTAGGATCTTGCACAAGATCTGCTCTAGATGACAAGCCAAAAGATTGATTCATTTTAGCCTGTACGCAGAGGCACACAACAGCAAATTTGTATGTCAAAGGTGTGAGTGATGAGCGAGAGAGTAACTTTTTGATGAAGTCAGAATATCAATCAGTCGCAAAGGAACTTACTTTGGTCTTGAATGCAACACACCCCTTTGAACTATCAGGAAGTGGTTCTGGAAACATGTGGAACTTGTTGTCCGCAGCAGCCACCAGTGTTGTCTGTGGATCTACGCCAGACTTGCAAATAATGTAGTTGGACTCAGGATTCTTCATTGCCGTCAAGACCCCAACTGGGATCCACTCCATTGTAAGCATCTCGGTGTAGGGCACAAGTCGGAACACCCTGTGGATGGACCCCCACCTGGATCCACGCATTGTGGTAATCCATGACAGGCGTCCATTGATCACCATACTGTTTACCAATGTATGGATCTTTGCTTGGTCCCAAGGGACATATATCAGCACTGGAAGCAAGAGACCCTCCTTTGCATGCAGAATTGATTTGCTTGGTCATATGACTTCACATTGGATGTTTCAGAGGGGCCATAAAAATCCATTCTCATGTTGCAAATTACATAATTCGATTCCCAGGGCATCTTGTTATCCTTGATCCCCCAATCAGGATCAACCCCATTGTGTGTATCTCTGTGAAGCCGGCATGTTGATGCGAGGCCAGAAGGATGGACTCCCACCTGCACCCATGCATTGATATCATCGGAGACAGGAGTCCACTGATCGCCAGACTGAACTCCAAAGTAAGGTTCATCTGCTTCAAAATAGTGCCAGAGATTGTTGGTAGAATCGATCAGTAGGAACTCTCTGGAATTGACAGCAGCAATGCTTGTACCCGACTGGCCCTGTACTGGTTGTGCCCACGTAATGTTAGCTGTAAACGTGATTGACCTTTTGGCCAATCCAGGACCTGTCTGGTTTTGGTCAACTCCTGTTGTCCAGACGGTTCCATCAGCAGCTAAGCTAATATCACCACCATTGCAACCGCTTGTTGCGGCCCATCCATCAACACCATGGCCCCAAATTGCGTGTTTGTTACATAATACTGCCTTGTCCCCATTGGTACCAGAAATTCGGTCACCAGAACCTCCAACTTTCACAAAAGCACTATCGGTGGGACGCTTGCGCCAGACAGGACCATGGTCATGTCCAGCCACCAGTTCTGTCATCCAAATAGTTCCATCCTTGGTGATACTGATATCGCGAGCTGGAGGGTTTTGTACCACTACCCAAAGAGTGACGTTCCGTTGGTAAATTTGGCCATAAGGGTTCAGAACCGCTACATTTGTACTGCTTCCAACTGAAATTCTTGTAGCACATCCACCTATTTCCTCCCATGAATCCATACCAGTGATGCGATAAATGCTGTAACAGCTATTGCCATAGTCATAAGTTCCAAGCTGCATGAAAGCGATAGGCACATGAAAATGAGAGATAAGAAATTGAAGCAAATACTCACTTGATCATGCAGTAGTATCAAGCACACATACCGCCCAGATAGTCCCATCATCTGCAGCACCAACATCCGTGACTCTGATTCTGTCATACTTTTGCCAGTGCACCGGGGGAGCAGCAGCAGAAGGGCAAATTTCAGCACTGGAAGCAAGATACCCTCCTTTTGCTCTGCAGAAGTCTTTCGCTTGATCGTAGGTTTTGACCTCAGCGGTTTGGCCTTTCCCGAAAACAACCCTGTACAAGTCGCATACAATATAGTTGGGCTCTGATGTCACGTCACCTTTTTTGGTGCAAACAGGCGATTGGTCATCACTTCCAATTTCAATCCAACCATTATGATAGTCATCAAAGGGCACAAAGTGACTGCCACCACTTAAGGTTTCAATCTTTGGTTCGATGGGTTGGGGCCTTTCGTAGTGCCACAATCGGTTGCTAGAATCAACCATCAGGAATTTGTCCGCGCTCACAGCAGCAATGTTGCCTCCAAGCCTTCCCTGTACAGGAGCATCCCAAGTTGTAGCAGTTGAAGTGGAGGTAATCGATCTCCGAGGTTGACCTGGACTTGTCTGACCAGTTCCAACTCCTGTTGTCCAAATCGTTCCATCACTGGCAATTCCAACATCACCATTGATACAGGATCCTGCTTCGTACCAGTGGGAACCAACATTAACCCAAAGTAGATTCCCTGCTCCAGTGTTACAGAGGGCAACCACATCAGGACCAGAAGCGGCAATGCGGTCTCCGCCTCCTCCAAAGCGCCTGAAGGCAAAATCACTTGGAAGTTTGCGATAGACATCACCAGTGTTACTTCCCGACACGAGCTCTGTTAACCAAATAGTTCCATCTCTTGTGATACTGATATCGCGAGCTGGAGGGCTTTCTACAAGCACCCAACTGTTGCCGTTCCGTTGGTAAATTTGGCCCGCATTATTCAGAACCGCCACGTTTATACTGCTTCCAACTGAAATTCTTTTAGCACATCCACCTATTTCCTCCCATGCATCCCCAACAGTGTGACGATAGATGCTGTAACAGCTATTGCCGTAGTCATAAGTTCCAATCTGCATGAAAGCAATATACATGAAAATGAGACATGAGAAACCAAAGTAAATCCTCACTTGATCAGAAGTATCTAGCACACATACCGCCCAAACTGTGCCATCCTGCGCAGCACCCACGTCTCGGACACTAACACCTCGGTACTTGTACCAACCCTTTGCATGGGGAGAACAGAACACATAATTTCCCCACCCATGGTGACGGCCCTGTCCAGTAATCTCAGGAGCAGCGCCGCCGTGAAAGGTGCAAGCAGCTGACTGACCAACACCCACATTTACCCACTGATTCTCACGTTCGGAAATTGGGGCCCATTGATCTTCGGCAGTTGACTGAATCCCAGTGACTGGCGTGGAGTTGGTACCACCATCAGGAGGACAAATATCCTTAATAGAGGCAAGGGTTCCACCATTGGAATTACAAAAGTCTTGTGCTGCGGTCCATCCAATGGCCAGGCTACTGGTTTCGCTGGGCCCAAACATGTGGATGTCTCCCCACTCCTTCCGCCAAAGTTCAGAACCATCAGAGGGACAAATATCAGAACTGGCTGGAAGGGACCCTCCCTTTGCAACACAAAAGTTGCGTGCTTGATCATAGCTGTTGACATGGGAAGTTTCGGTGGGTCCATACACAAAGATCTTCATGCTGCAAAGGACATAGTTAGCCTCCCATGCTTTCTTCTCAAATTCATCAAGACCCCAATCAGGATCTCCATACGTTTCCCTGTGAAGGCTGCACGTCGAAACTACTGGATGACTCCCAACTTGGATCCACCCGTTGCGGTAGTCTGATACAGGTGTCCATTGATCACCATCCTGGATACCAAAGTAAGGCCAGCTTGAGCTACAAATTGAACCACAAGAAGTATGAGATGGGTGTTTGTGCTTGCATCGGGAACAAGCAAAGTGCATGAGCGTGAGTGTCGATCAATGGACTGGTGTCTTACCTTCCAGAGGGGCAAATGTCAGAACTGGAAGCAAGTGTTCCTCCCTTCATCTCGCAAAACTGCTGTGCTTGGTCATAGCTGTTGATAGCTCCAGTTTCTCGTGGCCCAAAAACTTGAGTATTACCAGTCCTGGGAACTCGTAGACCCGGATTCTCATATCGCCATAACTTGTTGTCTGAATCAACCAGCGCAAACTCTATGGCACTCATGGCAGCAATCTTCACACCGGAATGTCCTATAATGGGATCAGCCCATGTGGTTGCAATGGCTGTTGAGATGGTAGACCTCCGTGCCAATCCAGCACTTTCTCTGCCTTGTTGACCTTGTCCGACTCCTGTTGTCCAGATAGTTCCATCAGCAGCAATGCTGACAGCTCCATTGTTGCAAACTCCAGTGACATACCATTGGGAACCTCCGTGGCTCCAAAGCAAATCTTCATTTACAGATGGCAAGGAATTACATAGGGCCACCTTGTCCGGCCCTGAAGCAGCAATTCGGTCTCCAGATCCACCATACAGCACAAAAGAACCTTCAAATGGACGCTTGCGCCACAAATTGCCGTAGTCTGTTCCATCTTTTAATTCTGTCAAAAAGATTGTTCCATCCTTAGTGATAGTTGCATCTCGTGCAGCGGGGCTTGGGATCAAATCCCACCCTTGACCACTCCACTTGAATATTTCCCCTTCTTCCGTTGTAATGATGATGTTATCGCTGCTGCCGACTGAGATGCCAGAGGCACACCCTCTGACTTCCTCCCAGGTGTCTCCTTCTAGTTTGCGGTGGATGGTGTAACAACCATTCATTACCGTATAGTTCGAAATCTGATCAAAGCACGGAAGAGGGGGGTGTTAGATGTCCACGCACACAAGAAAGACAGATATGAACCCCATAAGGAAACTCACCACCCAAATTGTGCCATCATATGCAGCACCAACATCACGAACTGTGACCCCACTGTACTCATGCCACAAGGTCGGTTTATTGATTGCTACTGCTCCCGTGTTTTCTGTTCCATTTGTGGAGAGCATATCTGTGTTTGTATCGCTTCCTCCGCCACTGTTCAGTCCTCCTCCTTCTGTCTCTTGTGCAGATCCGATTGATGCATTGAAGATGTTCTGATAGTAGAGGGGTTTCTTCAAGGCAGAACGGCTGCCTTTGACCAATAGCGCCTTCTTTTGGTGGACCAAAACAGCTGTGCCATTCTCTGTTGTATTAACTTTTCCATCCCAAATGATGTCACCAACAGAAAAGTATCCATTTCCAGTCAAGGGTCTCATGATTTGAAGGTCATTAGTGACATACATTTCTTCAAGATTGGCAGTGTACTTGACCTCCAGTGACCCTTCCTCTGGGTACATCTTGTAGTATGCCAGGGTGTAGGGAAAGTTGAAACCACTTTCTGAGTAGGCACACAAGTTCCTTTGTTTGCCATCGGGATATTTGTACCGAGCAATGCTTCGGCTAATTCTTCCATGCAGGTGGTGATCTGGAATGCTGAAGAGTTTGTTGATCTTTTCACGTCGCTCAAACACAGCCTTGGACACAGCAATATCAGTACTTGTTGCCTCTCTGTGTTTGTGAAACCAAGAGGTACAAACGATGTAGTTTGCTTCAAAATCTTTCTTGTCTTCACTGGTGCCCCAAGCAGCATCTCCATACTTGTCCTTGTGGAAACTGCAAGATGAAACTTCCGTATGCAGCCCAACTTGGATCCACGCATTGTCATAGTCTGAGACCGGTGTCCACTGGTCCCCTGTCTGGATGTCAAAGTATGGCTTGTTTGAGCCATCCGGGGGGCAGACGTCAGAGCTGGAGGCCAGGACGAGTTGCCTTGCAGCGCAAAATGTCTTGGCTTGTGCATACGACTTGACATCAACGGTCACATTCGGTCCATATACGAAAACACCCTCCATCTTGCAAATGACATAGTCCGCTTCTCCTTCCAACTTGTCATCTTCTGCTCCCCACATTGGTCCTAATCCAATTCGTGGGTCACCATACTTGGTCCTGTGTCTGGAACACATATCAGCCACTGCATTGCCACCAACTTCAACCCAGCCGTTGCGGTAGTCCCCAAATGGAGTCCAGTGGACGCCACCAGCAGCACCAAAGTATGGTCTTTTCACAAGAGGAAGTGGGCAGATTTCATTAAAAGAGGCAAGGGTCCCTCCCTTCAAATCACAGAAGTGCTTGGCATCGTCATAATCAATCACCTTGGAGGTATCATCGGGCCCATAAATAAATTTGTCCATGTTGCACAAAATGTAATTTCCTTCCCAGGGCATCTTGTTATCCTTGATCCCCCAATCAGGATCCACTCCATTGTGTGTGTCTCGGTGGAACGAACATGCCGGCACACCCCATGGATGTGTCCCCACCTGGATCCATGCATCTTCGTAGTCAGAAACTGGAGTCCACTGGTCGCCAGGCTGAATACCAAAGTAAGGCTTGTCTGCCTCATAATGCCAGAGGTTGAGGTTGGAATCAACCAGAAGGAACTGCTCTCTGGCACTCACAGCAGCAATGTTCCCACCATAATCAATGATCCCACTAGAGTGGCCTTGGACAGGAGGACTCCACGAAGTGTGATGGGCTGTAAAAGCAGTTGATCTTCGAGGCAAACCAGGTCGGGTTTGGCCAGCTCCAACTCCAGTTGTCCAAATGGTACCATCAGAAGCAACACTCACATCGCCTTTATCACAGGTTCCAGTGACATACCAATGAGCACCACCATGGCTATAGAGATGATTGCCCGCCAATGTGTTACAGAGTACAGCCTTGTCAGCATTTAAACCGGCAATCCGCTCTCCTTCGCCACCAAAATTCACAAAACTGGTATCTGATGTACGCTTGCGGTAGACAGGGCCATAGTCCTGTCCGGACACCAATTCTGTCATCCAAATAGTTCCATCCTTGGTGATACTGACATCGCGAGCTGGAGGGCTTGGTACAAGCACCCAAATGTTGCCGTTCCGTTGGAAAATTTGGCCACCACTGTTCAGAATCTGACATTAAAAGAAGCAAAACAATGCATTAGACAGAGGTCACCAAATATTTGTAAAACCCCAAAGACTTCAGGCAACTGTATTCTCACAACAATGTTTGTACTGCTCCCAACTGAAATGCTTTGAGCACATCCGCTTAGTTCCCCCCATGAATCCCATGGATCACCAGCAGTGTGACGATAGATGCTGTAACATCTGTTGCCATAGTCATAAGTTCCAATCTGCATGCAAGGGATAAGTACATGAAGATGAGAAATCAAAGGAAAACCTTACTCGATTGGTGGTAATCAAGCACACATACCACCCAGATGGTTCCATCATCTGCAACGCTAACATCTCGGGCCTTGACACTGTGCTTGCGCCAATTATCAGTGGTAGGGCATATGTCTGTACTGGAGGCAAGGGATCCTCCTTTGGACTGGCAGAATTCTTTTGCTTGCTCATAGGTTTTCACATTGGCTGTCTGGCTAGGTCCGAACAGCGGTGTCGTCCCTGCTTGGCTAGGCATGATTGGGACCTTGTACTGCCAGAGAGTCCCAGCAGAATCAACCATCACAAACATGTCCGCATGAACACCAGCAATTTTGGTACCAGACTTCCCTTGAACAGGTTTGTCCCAAGTTGTAGCTGAGGCACTCATGGAAAGTGATCTACGGGGTAATCCAGGGCTTGACTGGCCACTTGCAACTCCTGTTGTCCAAATGGTTCCATCAGCAGCAACACTGATATCCCCATTGCCGCACATTCCTGTTTGATACCAGTGGGAACCACCATGGCTCCAGAGTTTGTTGTCATCAATTGTGTTGCAGAGGGCAACCCTGTCAGGTCCTGAAGCAGAGATTCGACTTCCGGCGCCTCCAAACAGCACAAAATCATTATCTGTCGGAGCCTTGCGATAGACATCGCCAAAAACCTGTCCGGACACCAATTCTGTCATAAAAATAGTGCCATCCTTGGTGATACTTGCATCTCTGGCAGCAGGGCTCTTGATCAATGTCCAGCCATGCCCGGTCCACTGGTGAATTTCCCCATCGGTGGTGGTCACCTAACATTACAGAACAAGTACAGCAATGCATATGAGACAGAGGTCACCAAATGTAAAGCCAAAGACTTCAGTCAACTGTATTCTCACAATGATATTATTGCGGCTGCCAACCGAAATGGCATTGGCACATCCTCTGACTTCTTCCCAAGTGTCACCTCCAACATATCGATGGATACTGTAACAGTCAGTCATTACTTTGTAGTTTGAAATCTGAATCAAGCAGGGCACGGACGGAATTTCCAGTTGAGTTTGGAGAGGAACTCATATGCATTTCGCCAAATTGCACTTTAAACCAACACGCGTCAGCTTCAGTTTTGAAAAGAACAAACGTACCACCCAAATAGTATCATCCTCCGCAGCATCAACATCTCGAATTGTTTGCTCCACATCTTTAACTTTTATTCCACTGAACTTGTACCAATTGCTTGGGGAACAATACACGTAGTTCCCCCAGCCCAAATCATGACCATGGCCCGTGCTTCCACCATGTTTCGTACAAACAGGGTTCTGGGCACTACTTCCAACATTCACCCATTGTCCTTCGCTGTCTCCAATAGGAGCCCATTGATCGCCTTCTGTTGATTGGATCCCATTGACTGGCTCAGCAATGGTTGTCCCAGTAGGACAAATTTGTGCTAGAGAGGCCATCGTTCCTCCATGAGAATTGCAGAAGTCTTCTGCAGAGTTCCATCCACCATCCAGCACCTTCGTTTTCCGAGGTCCAAACATTTTGATACTCCCCCACTCTGACTGCCACCGTTGCTCTAAATGACGATGGAGTTGACCAAGGTTGAGCTCATCATAGTATAACAGTTTATCAATGCAATGTGAGAGTGTGACAGCTTGACAAGTGGAACTTACCAACGGTGGAAGCAAATGCGGCATAAGTTGGAGCAATCGTTGGATAGTCAGAGGGAACACCAGAGGGAGCCAATGATGGGCTGGATGAGGGTGAAGTAGATGGATATGAGCTTGGTTGTGAGCTGGGACCAGAACTCAAACTTGGGACTTGGGACGGCCTGTCCGATGGCTGCTGAGATGGGGCATAACTCGGGGATGCACTCGGCTCAAGACTAGGCACATCAGAGGGTGATATGGATGGCAACCCACTAGGCAAGGATGATGGGGATGATGATGGCGGACTACTAGGTGTAGAGGATGGGGAGGAAGAAGGGGCAGGAGAAACAGTGGGGGCAGGAGTTGGCCTTGGTGTAGGCTGAATGAAGTCATCATCAGAGGAAGCTATCTCATACTGCCAGAGACCGTAGCTAGAATCCACCAGTAGAAACTTGTTTGCGGTCACAGCAGCAATTTCTTTACCAGACATGCCCTGTGCCGGGGTGCCCCATGTGGTAGCATGTGCTGTTGTAGAGGTGGACCTGCGGGCCAATCCAGGGTCTCCCTGGCCATTGGGGACTCCTGTTGTCCAGATGATTCCATCATCGGTAATGGAAACATCACCGCTGCTGCAGGTTCCAGTTCCGTACCAGTGGGAACCATCATGAACCAACATCATGTTTGAATTTATCGATGGCAAGGAATTACAGAGGGTGGCTCTGTCATAACTGGAACCAGAAATCCGATCACCAGAACCTCCAAACTTCACAAAAGCACCATCGGTGGGACGCTTGCGCCAGACAGGACCATAATCGCTCCCAGCCACCAATTCTGTCATCCAGATGGTCCCATCCTTGGTGATACTGATATCGCGAGCTGGAGGGCTTTGTACAAGTACCCAACCAGTACCAGTCCATTTAGTGATTTGTCCCGTCGGGCTCATTACAATTATGTGTTCTTGGCTGCCAACTGAAATTCTTTGAGCACATCCATCAATGTTTTCCCAGGCATCTGCACCTGTGTGACGATAGATGGCATAACAACCATTGCCATGGTCGTGTGTTCCAATCTGCATCAATACAAACAGACGTGGAATATGAGGGCTAAGAAAGCAAAACGAAACTTCACATGATCAATCGTATGGAGCACACATACCACCCAGATGGTTCCATCGTCCGCAGCACCAACATTTTGAGCTTTCAACCCATTGAACTTGTGCCAACGACTGGAGCAAACAAGGTAGTTTGAAGCAGGAGCCCATGTCCCAGTCAAACCCCAATCAGGAGTTACGCCGAATGAGGCGTTGTGAGTTTGACAAGTTGGCTTGCCATTAGCCTCGGTTCCCACCTCGATCCATGCATTATTGTAGTCAGAGACAGGGGTCCACTGATCCCCCACCTGGATTCCAAAATATGGTAGGGTAAGTGCCCCCGAGGGGCAGACATCAGCACTGGAAGCAAGTGCTCCTCCTTTTGCCTTGCAGAAAGCTTGAGCTTTATCATAGGTGTTGACAGCAACTTTCTTGTTTCGGCCATAGAGGACTCTGTTTGAGGTACAAATGATGAAATTGGACTCCCAGGGTTGCTTGTGATTTCCATCAACCCCCCAATCAGGATCTCCATAAGTCTCCCTGTGGAAACTGCACGATGAAGCTACAGAATGGACTCCGACCTGGACCCAGGCATTGGCATAGTCAGCAACGGGCGTCCACTGATCTGCCTCCAGAGAACCAAAATAGGGTACAGTAGAGTTGAGGGGGCAGATGTCCGATCTGGAAGCAAGAGTTCCTCCTTTAGCATTGCAGAAGGAAACAGCTTGGCCATAGGACTCGACATTGGTGGTGTGACTGGGTCCATAGATCGCGGTCCTCATGTTACATATAATGTAGTGTGACTCCCAGGCTAGCTTCACATTCCCGTCAAGACCCCAATCAGGATCTGCTCCATTGTAAGTGTCTCTGTGGAACGTGCAAGTTGGTGCATCGCCTGGATGGACGCCAACTTCGACCCATGCATTGTGATAATCCGAAGCTGGAGCCCAATGATCTCCGGACTGGATTCCAAAGTATGGTTGCGCAGATCCATCCAAGGGGCAGATATCGGCAGCGGAAGCAAGAGATCCTCCCTGCGATTCACAGAATTCTTCTGCTTGATCATAGCTCTTGACATCACTGGTATCCGTTGGACCAAACACCCGAGTGATTCCGGTTGCTTCTCTCTTGGCTGGGATCTCATACTTCCAAAGATTAAAATCAGCATCCACCAGATAGACCTTGTTTGCACTGACAGCCGCAATGTTCGTGCCAGTTTGACCAGGAATGGGGGTCGCCCACTTGGTGGAATGGGACAAAATTTTCGTGGATTTGCGGATGAGACCAGGATTCGCCTGGCCTGTCGGCACTCCTGTTGTCCAAATCGTTCCATCACTGGACATGCCAATGTCGCCGTTATCACAGGTTCCAGCTTCGTACCAGTGGGAAACGGCATTAACCCAAAGTAAGTTCCCTGCTCCGGTGTTACAGAGGGCAACTACATCAGGACCAGAAGCGGCAATGCGGTCTCCACCTCCTCCAAAATTGGAAAAATCAAGATCAGCGGGACGCTTGCGATGGACATCACCAGAGTTACTTCCAGCTACCAATTCTGTCATCCAAATAGTTCCATCCTTGGTGATACTGATATCGCGAGCTGGAGGGCTTTGTACAAGCACCCAACTGTTGCCGTTCCGTTGGTAAATTTGGCCCGCATTATTCAGAGTCGCCACGTTTGTGCTGCTTCCAACTGAAATTCTTTTAGCACATCCACCTATTTCCTCCCATGAATCCCCAACAGTGTGACGACCATAGTCATAAGTTCCAATCTGCCCCACCATGAGAATGAGGGTGATGGTGATGGAGGGAGGAACAGAAAAAGAGTTGGAAATGAGAAAGTCAGGGGGTGATATATAGTGAAAAAGGACAAAGAACCATAAAAGGATTTTTTGCACTTACTGCCCAAATGGCACCATCTTCAGCAGCGCCAATATCCCTGACCTGGGTGTTTCCAAACTTGTACCAACGGGGACGACACACAACAAAGTTGCCCCACCCATGCTGATGTCCATGGCCGGTAATCTCCGGAGCAGCGCCGCCATGCTTCGTGCAGGTTGGATTCTGGCCACTTCCCACGTTTACCCATTGATTCAGGCTGTCAGAAATTGGAACCCACTGATCTCCGCCCTGATCCTGAATTCCAAAGAGGGGCATCCTATTGGTACTTCCATCCGGAGGGCAAATTTCCTTGATAGAGGCAAGAGATCCGCCCTGTGCCTTGCAAAAGTTTTGGGCGGCAGTCCATCCAATGGAGAGGCTAGCGGTCTCTCTAGGTCCGTACATGCGTGTGTTTCCAATCAACCAGTCGGTGGTTTCATCCAACCTTCTACCATGTCGACGGACACTTAGGGCACCCGTGTCTTCTTGGTCATCGTTGTTTGTTTCTTCTTGGTGCTTTAGGTCTGTAGACGCCATCCGCTTCATGGCTTCCAATCTGGTCTTGTTACTGAGGGTGTCGATGTGCGGATCTTGTCCTGGGTGGTTTGTCGTGGCCACCTTGACGGATTCAGTGTTGGCGTTGGCGTTGGCGGCGGTGTCCTTGGGGCTGGTCTCCTCTTTGGAATCCGTACCAGTATCGCCCATGACGATGATTCGGTCTGGCTTCGTGGAGTTGGGTTGATCTTGTTTGGTCTTGTTAAAGGTCTGATCGGCGTCGTCTTGGTCAAGGACGCGCTGCAACGGCACATCCAGTTTGATATCTTTCTTAAGCCCAAGGGTCAGAGTAGGGTCAGGGTTAGTCTTTAGGTTGGTTCTGGTATTGGTACGAGCAGTGATACCAGAACCAGTACGGGTATCTTCCTTGAGATCTTGTTGGTCGGTGAGGGGAGCCTCGGCAGGGCCAACAACAACTTGTTTGTCTTCCAGTTCATCTTGGTCTTGGCCTTGTTGAAATTTGGGAACACGGAGATCCGAATTGGTTTCGGAATCATACTCGGAATCAAAGAGGTCTTCGGATGCCTCGGCAGCCATCTCTCCGTGATCGGTAGTAGTAGCTTCTTCAGCAATGGTACCGGTACCAGTAGTGGTACCAGTAGAACCAATACCAGTGGGTACAGGAAGGACATCTTCAGCCTTGGTAAGACTTTCGGTCGAGAGTGAGAGTCGGAGCAGAAGGGCCAGGAGGAGGCCGAAATGCTTCATCTTGAGGGTTTCTTTTTCTTTTTCTGGGTTTTTCTTTCTTTTCTTTTTGTGTTTTGGATCCTCTCTTTAAAAGGGTAATCAAGAATTCCTTGTAGATCGGTATCTCGGTTGGACCAACAAACAACAGCAACGGCAACGGCAACAGCAAAGCAACAGCAATACAGCAATGATCGACAACGGCAATGGCAACGCGTGTTATCAGACAGGCACAGCAAGAGGGACAGTCAATGTCAACCCAAGCTTATTATGACTCGACTCGGTATTGCTTGTCTTTCTTATTTTGTGTCTTCGTTCAATTGCTGATTGAAGCATTCAACAAAAAAAGGGTAAGGCGACGGTCTTTTGGACGTAGGCATAGATCTGGTACAGCGGTACGGTAGGGCGTGTTGGAAAGAATCGTGCGATCTTTCTCAAAGGTGAATGGTTTGAGGCTTGAATGAGAACGGGTAAAGGGTAAACCTACTGTACGATATACCCGGGGTAAGAATGATAATGAAGACATTTATTTAGACTATTTATTTGGACCATGGAATTATCTTGCACCAACATAAAATGGATGGTTCTCTGTGCGTTCGGCCTCACTGGTCCCGGGCCCGAACCCGATCTTTTTCCATCACTTGGGCGTGTCGGTCTTTTTGGTAGAAATTACAAGTTCGCAAGCACTCTGTTTTAGTGGTTTTATGTAGTGCAGGAGAGTCGAACTCTGGCCTGGAGCCTTGCACTTTTTGCTGCATTCATAAAAAGGACAGTTAGTTGTGCGTACGCCGCAAAGGCCATTTGGAAACACGATGATACAATGTAGCACTTTCTGCTCATTGTCCATGGCTACAAAGTGGGGAACAACATTAATTACTAGTAATAACATTGTGAATATCGTCATTGTGGATGGTTACGGCAGCTGCGTCGCTCAACATCGACCGTGTCATTATTTTCACCAGTCCCATCTATCCATAATCCTTACCGAGCTACCGGTAAGCGGTCTTTGGGACTTGATTTCTTATTTAGCGCAGCGTCTTTTTCTGGAATGTTGTTGAAGCTAAGCCAAGGTGCACTCTGTCTTCTTTTAGTAGTATAATACTGGTATTCCACGAATGATTGTTTCGATTGAATCGACTCATTCACCATCTTTCTTGAATGACGTGAATGCAGCTACTAGTACAGTCTACTCTCATTTATATCAGGAGGGGTGGATTTAGGGAAAGTCATGATATAACTGAGAGTCTGATATAACACTTTTAGTACCGGGTGTACATAGATGTACGTGAGAAATCTACCCTAACCCTAACAATACCATAACAAATCTTAGTCATGAGCCACTAGTGACGGATGGGGGAATTACAATAAGTCTTGATTTAACTGAGAGTATGATTTAACAAATTCTGATTTAAGCGAGAGTAGACTGTATGTCACAGTCGCTGATAATATTACTACCGCAGCAGAGAACCCCAGGAATGACCGTTTCTTCTTCTTTCTAAGATGACGCGCATGAAGCTATGTCAAAATTGGATAGTTCCCTGATTTTGTAGTTGCTGATATCATTACAGTATGCATAGGAGCTGCATACCGGTAGGCCATACTAGTACTAGTATCACACATGCAGTTGTTGCTGATGTTACAGTCTGCATAGGACAAAAGGGGAGGCGGTTAACCGGTAGATTTGGTTGTCATGACGAAGATAGGATCTTCTCACTGATGAGAACAGGTAGGTGTTGACACCCGGTACCAGTGCTGTGGAAGGTGTTGCAACTCAAGGCAGACTCTTGTTGGACACGCGATTACATGTTGCTTTCTC